CCTCCCCCCCCCAAAAAAAAAAACATCGGTGAACGAAACTGCGGCAGCTACAACCACTGTACGACGAGTACGCGGTTAATACAGCTGACAATATGATGATGATGATGATTATGACGATGCTTGGATAAGGTTGGTTGGGTTGTACCGAAAACAGACGTTCCGGCTTGAAGTAGCGTTTTGAGTATTTTTTTTTCCAGATTCAGAGCTACAATCAGTTGGGGCGTAAGCAGACACAATGAGCAAGGTGCGGTGAACCTTACTTCCTCCAGATTCTCTCACGGATGTTGCCGAACAACACAGAGGCGACTATCAACGGGTATCCAATCAAGCAGAGAAGCTTCCGCTCGTTCGCTCAGTACAATACCCACCTTAGTATATCCAGCTGCAGCGGCTTCTGCATCACCAGAGGTGCGCAGCCGGAACCCGGAAGAGAGTGAGGGGACACTCAGTTCAGTCACAATACTTGCGACCTACGTCCTTGTTTCTGACAGACAACGTATACTAATGCAGAGGGAATCCAGCGCACACGCAAGAGCCACCTGTAGATATGCTTACCTCAGTGTGCGAACATTGAAGCTGGCTAAGTAGACAGGCTTTCGTGGTTTGAAAACAGACTTCGAAGTGTTTAGGGTTGTGATTGAACTCGGACGTACAAAAGCTGCAGCTAAGTGCGATACAGCAAGCGAGCAAAACGGCCAGTCCTAGAGCTGGGACTTACGGAGAAAGTATTCACATTTGGGCGGAGGATGGTGGAAGACGGGAAAAGTGAAAGTGTAAAAAGAGAAGCGTCAGCAGTAGCTTAGTCGCTTAGTCGCCCTGCTGTGTCCAGCAAGTGAGGCGATCCGGTTGATGGCAGCGACCGACGGCCGATGTGGCATGAGTGTATTGTTAGTCGTGAACGCCATGGTTGTACGAAGGCTGGGATACTGCCAGAGCGCCCCTAACACGAGGCTGGGATACTGCCAGAGCGCCCACACCTAACACGAGTGTTATATGCTGACGTGTTAAACCGTTTACTCGCTATTCGTCAAACTAATTGTGATTCCTTACGTTTTAGCTGATGTACTGAAATTGTTAGAAGATTGAAGTCAATCATTCGGCAATCTTCGTTCTCTATTTCTGGCACAATCATTCGAGTGCGCAACAATTTAATCTAACAAAATACAATGGAACGATTGTTTCGCCCAGATCGGTTTGACGCCGGTCCCCGATTCTCTTCTGCTCCAGAACAATGGATCCACTGGCACGAAAGGCTTACAAATTTCCTCTCATGCATCGAACTCCAAAATGTTGACAAGAAAACTTTCGGTAAATTTTCTTTCTCCGTCCGTCTATCAACATGTTCGCGAATGTACTACTTACGAAGACGCCAACCAGACGCTCGGAACGATGGACATCAAACCCAAAAATGAAGTGCTTTCTCGCCACGTGCTGGCTACTGCTAAACAAGAACCGGGTCAGTTAGTCGTTGCTTTCCTGCAAAAATTACGTTATCTTGTCATGGACTGCAATTTTCGTGAGGTTTCTGCCGACGAACATCGGGACAAGGCTATTCGAAACGTTTTTATCACAGGTTTGCAGTTTAATTACGTTCCCCGACTACTAGAAAAAACACTCTTAAACTTCAACAGCATTTGATGAGGCACGTCCAATTGAACATTCTAAACAACGGTTACTCCCATATTCCCTCTCATATTCCCTGTGGTGCCGCATCTATCAAAACTGATAAACCTTTGACTCGTGAAGCACTTATTTCGCAGACTGACTCTAATGACGCGATTTCAAGTACATCGTTATTTTGATTATTCTGTGACAACGGCAAGCACATTCGTTCAAAATGCCCGGCTCGTGAATCTTTCTGTCATTCCTGCGAAATGAATTTCCAAAAAGTTGGTCTATCCAAACCGAGCTCAAGTCGCATCACATCGTCGGTGGACCCTGGTATCTTATATATTTCCAACATATCTTCATCCATTGGAATTTCTCTCCGGAGGCCAGCCGTTCCTCCATCACACCATCCGGACAGATGCCACGTGCAGAACACGGACCAAACGAGGGCATGCTTTGATTGGTCAGAATGACAGCCAATCCGAATCGAGCATCTTCGATTCGAATCTTCTCGCCCCCTCATGGAGATTCTAGCGCGACCTTGTGGAACACTGTGATTGCTCTTCAATCACCACACGATGCATATATTCGGACCCGGCAACTGAATCGAATTGAACAGGATTCAGAGTTGACGATACGGAAAATTACCACGGACTGCCAGCATCTTATCGATCTCAAGGCTGATGCTGCAATGATTGGACATTCCAAATTCTCTCAACCTGATATGGTACCCTAAGTTACTCTTAAAAAGCAGTTTACTTCTAAATGAACCCAAGAAAACCGCCCACACCCCGTTGGTTTTGTGAAGAATGGCACTATTCACGCCACCGTCCCTACCGGAACCACAGGTGCAGTAAGTGTAGCCTGAAGAGTCTCAAAGAACATTGCAGAGACAACTTCAGGAGCTCGCGCAAACACTGACCGGACAAAAGGATGCACGCAGAGGCCATGACCAACACATTCGGGATGAAATAACTCGGTCGACGTAAACTCGTCACATTATGTATATATGGCACACCAGTTACCCTCAAACTGAATACAAGTTCTGATCACACTCTGATTTCAAAACGAACCTGGAACGTAACTGCAAGGCCGCCAGTGGACCCCACAGAGTGCACCGTTCGTAATGCATCTGGTGGAAGCCTCGAACTGACCGGGAAGCTGAACTGTTCCGTAACGTTCAAGGGTATCCAACTCAATGCTACTTGCTACCTCACAAACCATACAAGCCTTGATCTCCTGGGCCTGGACTGGGTTAATGAGCTTCAATTCTTGGATGACCCCCCCAGTGCCGTTTGTAATGAGGCAATTGCAAATGGCTCTGACACGTTCACGAGAACATCACGTCCTGACGATTTTGTGGTCACCACAGTTACAGCCTGACAGGAGACCAGATGGACCATACGCAACACAGCAAGTATTCAGCTTCTGGCGTCCGCCAGCGGTGGGCCTCCCACCCCAGTCCAATATAGTGAATCCTACCTGCAGCCTGTAACGTTTCATACGCGGTCCGATTCCCTCAGTTAACAGTCGGAGGTTCATGCGGATCGTTCTACTCTATCCGGCAAGACAAAAGGGGGGCAGGCAGAAGGTACGCCACAGCCATCACACAGAGACCAGTCACTGAATCGAGGATATTGGGAATGCTGTTCACGGTGGGCGCAGGGTCGGCCATGTCAAACACGAGGCACAAATCAGATCATCGGTACATCTGCGTCAAGCGAACCAAATTCAAGCAACAGACGGTGGTTCAGTGAAGGAATCCCGTCGCTTGGGACAACGGACAGCCGTGACGTACATCGGAAGTGGAGGGTCGCAGATCCAAGAGCAGCATACTCGCAACCCCAGCGGGGAACCGAAATGCGCCAGCACCCCGGTGAGTCGTCACAGTGGAGTCCAAAGCAGCAGTCGGTTGAAAAGCATCCTTAAGTGGGAGGTGTCCGGAGGCCAGCCGTTCCTAATAACCAAACATCACATCATTTGGACGGATGTGTCACGTGCCGAACACGGCATGCCTTGATTCGTCAAAATGAGAGCCAATCCGGATCGAGCATTTTCGACTCGAAGCTCCTCGCTCCTTCACGGAAACTCTAGCACGACTTTGTGGAACACTCTCTGGCAACCCAATAAACAAAGTTGTAATAATTTTCCTTTGTCTCAATAAATGGCCGTGTATAGCCGCCCTACCTTTTGCTGTACCATAGTGGGCGAAGCAGCAAGCCAAAGGACCGATGCAGAGTTGCACTACCGTTCGGCAAGACAATACTTTCCAAATTGATCGTTGATGTTATAGTGAATACTATCCCACTCCATGAGTTCACCGATAATGGTAGCTGCAAAAGTTATATTTCTTCTGACATCACACCAAAGCATGCTTGAACAATCACATCCTTGGTAGCTTCAACGAATTTATCTTGTGTTTACTAGATCTCAAATTTATCCCACCGCGCTGCACAAAAGCACGCGATACGAAGTTGTCAAACTCTCGCTCTTGTCCAATTTGTTTTCAGACGTCATCCTTGGCCTGGGTTTTCTCAGCTAACACCAAAATGTGGTCATTCCATTCACGGGTAAACGGGTTCCATTTACCGTATTCACACTGAAAGCAGCAAAAGTCAATGCTCCATCTCTGTTTGTTAATCATTCCCATGGGTGTACTCCAACCGTCACGAGATTTTGTCTTTTCTCTCGTGCGGATGTATTTGTCGAGACGAAAATTCGGAAGCTACTAGTGAGGAAATCTACTAGATCTCAAATTTATCCCACCGCGCTGCACAAAAGCACGCGATACGAAGTTGTCAAACTCTCGCTCTTGTCCAATTTGTTTTCAGACGTCATCCTTGGCCTGGGTTTTCTCAGCTAACACCAAAATGTGGTCATTCCATTCACGGGTAAACGGGTTCCATTTACCGTATTCACACTGAAAGCAGCAAAATCAATGCTCCATCTCTGTTTGTTAATCATTCCCATGGGTGTACTCCAACCGTCACGAGATTTTGTCTTTTCTCTCGTGCGGATGTATTTGTCGAGACGAAAATTCGGAAGCTACTAGCTGAGGAAATCATTGAACCGTCTTACTCTCCTTGGAGCGCCCAGCTTTTCGTTACTACAAAGGAAAGGCATAAGAGGTACTTGGTAATCGATTACAGTCAAACCATGATTTGCTATACATCCTTGATGCGTAATGGGCGTACTGTGCGAGGCTCACGGCTAATGTTGACGTGCAAGGAGTAGCCAATTTCGTCTTAGTTGGGTCGCAACATCCCAAGCATCATCTTCCAAACATAGCACGCACGTTCTTCCTCCTTGTCATCTAGAGCGATCATATACACAAAATTCTAATAACTTATCATTTCCTGATCACAAGCAGCCACAGATGGCACTTAATGGCCGTTTTTTGCCATGAACCATTCGTTTTCCGGGTTTGACAGCGGTGACTCGGCGACTGGTGTTCCTTAATCGTACTTTCCTGTTTGGTTGCCGTAGTACCCCTCAGTTAGGCTACGACTCTCATCAATTATATGAGAAGATGCTGCTAGTCCGCTTTTTAATTGTCTACTGTCACTGCTCACATTAACTCCTCTTTCTGCATAACAAGGACCCTATGTCGCGATGTTCTGGTGAGCTAATAACTACCGTCCGTTCTTAAATAGTCCAACAGCTAGCCTCCCTTCTGGCTACCTCGACGACAAAGTTCTCACCTTCCTAAGACAATGCACCTACCCTGGCCCAACTGGTAATTGGTTTCTAGATCAGCAAACGTATCCACCTTTCCTGGGTCCATATAGCGTGCTGTCGTCCCCTTTGAGATTTTTTCTATTGACACCGCTGTATCTCATGCCCCCAGACACGCGTCACACGC